TGCAAGTGATGGGGTCCTCGCAGCCTCCAGAACGTGTTCTCACCGCTGTCGGTGTCCCCGCAGGCCCAGGGCACGTCACTCGTCAGGAACTGGCTCAACAGAGCCATAAAAGTGCATTTCATGAGCAGAAGGAGCCTGGGACACGTCCGCGGCATTTTCTTCGCCTGCAGATGCAGTGGCCCAGCTCGGCGGCGCAGAGGTGGGCTGTGAGGGCTGGCTGTACGCAGAGAGCACACGAGCGTACAGCGCTGTTTATTTGTGGGGCTGTTGCAAACATGGGTCACCTTTGAGTGTTTCCTAACATAACTTTTCCTGTGTTCATTGCTTTACCCTTAAAACTAACAGGGAATCATTTTCAGTTAAAAAAATAGACATGTACAAAAGTCCCTTAAAGAGGCAGTAGTCAGCCTGCCTTCTAGAAAAGTGCTGTATTAGAAATTAGTGTCCAGCCTTTAACTCACTTTTAAGCTTCAAACTCAATTTAAGAAATTTTAAGAACTAAATTTAGCTTCTTCCACCATTTTTAGGAAGTTATATGTCCTGTCCTTGTAGCATTTGACTAAATGTTGGCTTATGGTCCAGTACAAACGTCAATCAAAATGCTCTTCCTAAGAGTAAAGTGATCTTTGTGGTTTGCTGTTAAGCTGGGTTGAAATAGAGAAGGAGGCAAAGGAACGGGCTGGGAAATGGCTCGTGCTCCTGCCAACATGTGCTCCTGCCAAGACGTGAGCCAAAGGCAGGAGAGCGTGGGGAGGTCCGCGCTCCCTCTGGTCACTGCGTTGCAATGATAATCCAGGAGAAGGAGGAGGTGTTTAGAGTAAGTGAGGATGTAAGGAACGAAAGTATGGAGTTTTGGGTATTTTTTTAGCCTGGAAATTAGAGTAAGGGAGGAGATTGTCAGACAACAGCTGTCCTGTGGTAGGTTTGTCATGATGCAAGGCACAGCATCAAGTGGGACCTGGGAAAAATTCTGTCCCAGGTTTGCGGCAGGTCTGTGACGGGCAGCAAGGTGAGCTCAGGTTCATCTGGTTTACGTTTTTTAAATGAAGGTAATGGCAGCATCCCATTTTGCAACGGGCTTTAAGATCTGCTGAAGGAAGACAGACGAGAAAAACTAGGTGTTACTTGGCCAGAGGCACTGAAAGGCAGCATTTTTAAACTGTAAGAAATTGTAAACTTTCGCAATCACTTTTTACACTTTTCTTTTTATACAGGGCGTAATTATCTTGTGGGTGTCTAATTACTGAGGTCTAGAGTGTTGTGGGTTGTGTTGTCCGCCTTTCCATTATGTTTAGGAGGGATGTAAACCTCACGTTCTAGAATGTAAAGCAGCCACTAATGGCTCAGACTGGGAGGAACCTCTTCAGTGAGGCAGATGCTCCGTAACTCTCCACCGCAAAGGATCCAGCCCTCTTGGTGGAGGTATTTGGATCGAGCACTGTCAAGGCTGGATTAGACAGACCATGGGCTAGAGCCAGAGTAATCCACCACACCGGTTCCTGCTTGTCATCCTTATGGCAACAGCGGACCAACAAACCCAGAATAAGACTGCTGTTAAATATGACTCTGAACAGCCCCAAAGGGAATTAATTAATAAACACCAGTCTATTCCTGGGTGTAACCCAAGCCTTAGAAACCTGAGAAGAGAAGATTTAGAACATGATAGAGATTGGGCAGAAATTTCTTTTCCGCTGTGTCTCTTAACCTCCGACTCCAAACTTCACAGCAGTTTCCAGGTTCCACTTGGTTATCCTCAGTGCCCTGCAGGGGTGGGGGGCACAACTCGTAATCCCCTGCATTTTCACCGGCATATGGGAACTTGATTTAGATTCAGCAGCGTTGTGAGGGCTGAAGGTTGCTCTTGGAGACCGGGGCATAGCAGGATCTGCACAGACCTGTGGAAGCTGGGGATCGTATCTATGGGTTGGTTTGTCAGGCAAACAATGCCTGTAACATGGCTGTAATCCCGCTCCAGAAAACACGTTTCTGCAACAGTGCCTGAGGCTCTGCTCAAAGGCTGCTCCTGTCTTCCTACTCACTGTGGTTCCCCACTCCTAATCCCTTTTTAATATGCGGTGCTACATATTTTGCAACACTTCCATTGTTGGAGAATGACTGTAACACCCAAACCCACTGCCTCCGCTTGCCAGATAGCTGGGCTGGAAAGCGAGGCTGTCAGGGAATGCTACTTGGACTTACTCAGCACTCCTGTTCCCTCCCACAAAACCTATTTTTCCCCAAGTGTCAAGATTATGGAGATGTGATGTGCCCTGATTTCTCAGACTCCCAGCCCATACCCCACGCGTTTTCCACTGTTGAGATGGACAGATCTCAAGTATTTTTTTCATAATTTTGTTAATAATTCTATTTTCTGATGGTCCTTCTATAAAAGGTCCCACGCTATGCCATTGAACGCAGAGGAATGATAAGTGAGTTTTATTCTTGGGAAGGAGTAAGAATAGCGAAAAGAGCACTAAATCAGTGCATATTTTGAAATTTTAAAATAAATCGCTTAGAGGGCATTAAACATTCAAATGAAAAGTAGGCATTAGTGAAGAAACAGACCCTGAGATAAGTAAAGCTCAAGAGAAGCCTTCAGGATGGCGAAGCTCCAGCACAAGTGTTGGACGCAGGTGCCATCTACTGGATACCCACCCATGGGAGCTGGCAGCCCTGCAGGTGACTGTCCGGGAGGGAGGAACGTCACCTTCTGGGAGCCCTGGAAACAGGATGAGATCCCCGTGATCACCACGGCAGCAGCTCAGAGGCAGTAAATCCTGCGGAAGGCTAAAGCGGTGCCACACTCATGGACAGGTCTGCCGAAACCTTCGGGTGACCGGCTCAGAGGAGGAGGATGCATTTCTGAGATGGTAATTCCCCTCGTGTTTTTCACCTGCATTGTGGGAAGTCCCCTGTGGAGTCTGTGCTCCTAAGTGATGCAAGAAAGAACCACATCCTGGGCTTTTACTGATATTGCTATACTCATATTTCTCTTTCAGAAGTGTGAGTAAATTAGGCTTAGAGAACCTCAGTCATCGCTTTAAATAATTGCTCCTGGATCTTTTAAACTCTCCCGCTTTGTAGTGAGTGCAAGAAACAGAACCACGTTCCAGGAGGGCAAGTCTTAACCTTTAATCAAGAGCATCGAGGCGCTTGCCGACGTTTCCTGTGCGGTGAAGAAAGCATCCAAGGCCTGTAGAAACTCTCAGGACTGTGCATGAAAGCCCCACCAAATTGCTGCAGTGCAGTACGCACGGCTGTCTGTTACCAGCAGCCAGCACTGGTCCCCCTCTTCCCTGGCCGCGCTGGGTTACATCCAGCACTGGTGGGTGCCTGCAGTCACCAATCTTGACTTAGAAGACTCAAGATAGGACACTAGTGTGGCCGTTGCTATCCGACTCTGAGAAATATGGTCCCAACTAAAAGGAAACGTGAAAGGAACTTGGCATTAAATTAGCAATGTAGATCCCCTGCAGGAGGTCAAAGTGACTTACCTGCATTAAATTCCACTTAAATGTTGGCCCTTGTAGTTTCCCACCTAGGGGGTCCTGGTTAGTAGTTTTCAGCTTTCACACCTAGCAGCGCTCAGGGAAATTAATACTATTAGTCTTTGCTTTGCGTCATCCACTCATGAAACTCCATTTTCTACCTGATCGAACCAATTTGCAAGGCGGTCTCCTGTCTCAGCCATGGGGTAAGGCTGTATCGTAGCAGTGATTGTCTGCCAGGTTCCCATGACTTTGTTCCTTTTCTGGACAGAAAACATGCCTCTGCCACTGATGGGCGGGACTTCAAGGGGGTTTTGTTTCCTCTGGGAAACAAAAATGACTGAGGATGATGCTAAGCTGGGTGCCTGTTTCTTGCCTGATTTAGATGCTCTCTGATGGTCTATATGGGACGTTCCCTAGCAGTATTCCCAGATCTGCCTCTCTCTCAAGACTGTATTCTGCTGTGGCTGCTCTGCAGCCTGAACCTCAGATATTTTTGTCTACCTAGGAACTTTCATCACC